GTCGATAAAAAATGGGTAGCAACTGCTCCTGCGCCATGCGCTCAGCACTTTGAAGTGAAAGTTGCAGGTCCTTCGGACGAGACCTTAAGACCGAGGCCCCGTGTCACGGCAGGCGTTGGCACGATAAAGATCCCTCACTGCTCAATGGCCCTGAGTGCCGAGTAAAGGTCAAAATTTGAAGCCCTTCACCGGTATATGGTGACGTCCCTATATGAGTGAAAAATTCTCGAACGGGACGTAAAACAGCATACAATCAATCAATCAATCATTGATTGATTGGAGCAATGACTTTCATATTTCACATATGTATTCCTTGTGACAAGACCTTTCTTTGCGTACCATCATATTTGACCTTGGAGTTTGACCCATCCATTTTTGCATTATTTTATGAGACTTTAACCCTTGCCATAACTTTTGAACAGTTGGTGCTTAGGCTTTCATACATCACGTTTATATTTCATATGACAAGACCTTCCTTTGGATTCCAACAGCTTTGACCTTAACGAGTTTGACCTACTGTTGAAAAAATTAACTTTGGCCGTAACTCTTGAACAGTTTGTGCAAGGGCTTTCATACTTAAGATTTTTATTCAATGTGACAAGATCTCCGATGGATACCAACAACTATGACCTTTTGACATTGACCTTGGAGTTTGACCTACTTTAATTCTGAAAAACTTTAACATTGGCCATAACTGTTGAACAGTTAGTGCTAGAGTTTTCATACTTCACATGTGTATTTCTTGTGACAAGACCATCCTTGCATACCAACATCCTTGACCTTGACCCTAGAGTTTGACCTACTTTTGAAAAACTTTAACCTTGGCCGAAACTTTTGAACAGTTGATTTTAGGGCTTTCAAAACTTCACATGCATATTCGTTGTGGTAAGACCTTCCTTTGGATATTAATAAATCTGGCATTGACCTTGACCTTGGAGTTTGACCTACTTTCAAAGAAATTTAACCTTGGCCGTATCATTTGAATGTTTGGTTCTAGGGATTTCACATTTTACGATCATGTGTATCACTTTTGAGATGACCTTCCCTTTCGCACCATTTGACCTTGCAGTTTTACTTACTTTGGAAAAAAAACTTTAACCTTCGCCATAACTTTTCAACGGTTGGTGCTAGGGTTTTCATATTTCATAGGTATATTCCTCGAGAGAGAACCTTTCTTTGCGTACCAACTTTGTTAGCTCCTGACCTGGAGTTTGACTTGCATTTGAGAAACTTTAACCTTCGCCATAAAATGCTGTACGGGGGCATCAGTGTGTTTCAAAAATACATTTTGTTAATCATTTTAACTTTTTTTTGGCTTTATGTTGTTTCCTGGAATGCAATTGCAGGCATTGGTCAGTTAGAGCCTATAGTGTTGGGAGTATTTAAATCTCTGCATTGCTGCCCACATAGCTGGGGTCCATGTTTCATACATGTACAAAATGTATAGGTTTTTAGGTCACCTGAGTCACTCAGGTGACCTATTGCTCTCCGATCTCGCCCGTCGGTGTGCGTCGTGTGTTAACATTTGAACATTTTTAGCTTCTTCTCTGAAACCGCTTAACCAATTTCAACCAAATTTGGCATGTAGCATCTATGGGTGAAGGGGAACAAAACTTGTGAATTTCATGGTCCATGCCCCCCTGGGGCTTGAGTGGTGGGGCTAACACCACCAAAAATATTGCAATCTTCAAAAATCTTCTTTACTCCTGGACATCAAGCAGTCAAATTGTTGGCATCATTGTAATAAGCATTGAGCCCTCTACCAAAATTGTGAAATTTATTGCCCCAGGGTCAGGGGTTTTCGAAGAATTAATGCATTTTCACTATAAAGTCAATAGAGCCCCGCCCTAACACCAGAAAGCCTGACCCTGCGACCAAAGTTTAGCATAAGAATACATAGGAAAACTCTAAAACTCTTCTTCTTAAGAACAACAAAGTCATGGTTGGTCATGTTTTAATGGAAGCATCCTCCGGTAGTGTAGATTTTAAGCTTTCAAGTCATGACCCCCGGGGGTAGGTTGGGGCTACAATGGATGATCAAAGTTTTTCATAGGAGTACATAGGAAAAAGACTTCAAAATCTTCTCAAGAACAGCAAAGCCATGATTGGGGATATGTCTATATGGAAGCATCCTCAGGTAGTGTAGATTCAATTTTGTTCAAATCATGACCCTTGAGGGTATGACGGGGCCACAATGGGTGATCAAAGTTTTTAATGGAAGTATATAGGAAAAAAAATTTAAAATCTTCTTCTAAAGAACAGCAAAGCCATGATTGGTCATATTTATATCGAAGCATACCCAGGTAGTGTATTCAATTTTATTTAAATCATAACCCCCGGGAGTAGCTAGGGTGGAGCCACAGTGGGGGATCAAAGTTTTACATAGGAATATACAGGAAAAAATCTTTTTCTCTAGAACAGAAAAGCAATGATTAGTAATATTGATATAGAGGCGTCCTGGGGTAGTATAGAATCGAATTTGTTCAGCCCCCGGGGATACGATGGTACCACAATGGGAGATCAAATTTTTACAAATGAATATTAAGGAAAAAATCTCCTCAACAACAGCAAAGCTATTTGTTATATTCATATGGAAGCATCATCAGGTAGATTAAAATTCAAGTCCCCCCCCCCCCCCTTGTAAACTTTTCAATATTGAACTGATTTTTGCTTTTTTCCCTAGCCAATGTGCTCAGGTGAGCAATGTGGCCCATGGGCCTTTTGTCATAATTACAGTCTTTCACTAACATTTTCAACCGAGTAGCAAATTGTTCAAATGTCTCACCTATTTCTTCAAACTTGTATAGGCTGAAAGTCACGTTTGATCTGCGCTTCACATAACCCTCGAACGTCTCTACGTAGTTTTTAAGTTTCTTCTGTTCCTCTTCTGAGAGTTTCCATGTGAAATATATCGCCCATCCTTTGTCCCCTACCCAAAGCATAAGGTACGAACACTTCTCTGGTTCCGACTTTTCTTTGAGGGGTCCCAAGAACATGAAATCTACGTGCTATTTGAACAATTACAGACGGATTCTAGATCCTGTGCCTCTCAGTCCAAACTAGGAACTGCACCGCTTAACATGTCCATCATTTAATGGTTGTTAGGGCTCTTTATTGGTTCTTTAACTTCTGACACCATGTTACATGTCTAACCACACCATGTGAATTTTTTAAAACGTTTTTATTAAACTGTTTGTTTGTTTGTTTGTTTTTATGTTGTTTAACGTCCTTCTCAAGAATTTTTTCACTCATATGGAGACGCCACCACTTGCCGGTGGAGAGCTGCAAATTTTGTCCTATACTCGGCACTTACGGCCATTCGTGCCAGCATCTACTGCGACACGGGACCTCGGTTTACACGGTCTCATCCGAAGGACCGGTCTCCACGTCCCACAGTGGGATTCGAACCCGCGAGGTAAGGATCAACTCCTTACTTCGCGACTTTAGAGCAGACGCTCTAACCACTGCGCCACGCGGGCGACTTTATTAAACTGATTCATACATATACATAACAAGACATAAGACAACACATACAATAAAACACACCAGGGACGACGTAGGGTAAAAGTAGAGTACATTACAATCATCAACTCCTTATTTATTAAATAATATCCCGCTATCACCTGTATATGTTGTTATCATCTCCCAACTTACTCAATACTCAAGAGCATGCACCGAATATGATACGCTCAATTTTTAGGTCTCCGGTCATTCTAGTTGCCTATACTGCTCACTTATTTTTGTCTTTCGTGTGTCGGTCGTTAAGGTTTCTGTATTTTCATTTTCTTCTGAACTGTTCAACATATTTTGGCATATCTTTCACTGCCTTATCTCCAAAGTCTAGAGCTTCGCAAAAATGTACCTTAGGCAATTAAGGACCCTCTCTACACTAGTGCGAAATGTTTTTTGGACATCGAGAAAATTATATTGAATAAAGGTGTAAATATTGAGCCTATGTATTTAATTTTCAATATATGGTACATGGCATTTACCCCGAAGAAAAATGTTCAAACACAACACAGTATCAGTGAACAGAAATGGCTGTTGTTTAATTCCATGGAGAAAATACATGTAAATAACGTGTTCAATTAATTTATCTTGGCCTTTTAAAATGTTAGGAATACTTGAATTGATTACAAATGGAGTAATATACTGTAAATTTCTATTTATTGGAATTTAGATCTAAGGGCAGATCACTCTAACTGCAGAAAAATACCATAGAATCAGAACTCTTCAGTGTGCAGTGTAGAGAGGGTTCTTAAGTAACTAAATCTTTTTAAAACATCAAAGTTGATGTCTCTTTATCTTCAACTTTGTCTGCCTAGCTGTAATCAAATTTTAAGATATTCACAATGATGATACACGACATAAATAAAACATTGTAGCTTATGCAAATATTCCAAAAAATTACTGATTCTTGAGCAGAATTAAATTACTTGTGTATTAAATCCATGATATATACATTTTTAAACAATGAAGTAGACGTTTACATACTTGTTTTAATCATTGGAAATATTATACGTCCCAAATTGTAGCACAATTATTAAGAAACAGGCTAAATTTTGACAGTGTTGCAGTAGCAGTTATAATTTGCTTTCATTGTGCATATTAAACACAGATGATCTAGTTATTCACCGTAGATCAACTGGATGAATCGATCCTTAAAAACAAGTAGTATCTTTGACATATTCCTGTCAAAATGCAAGCATAGGAGATTCTGTATGAAAGAAATTTAATAACATCTAAAGTAATATTAACAAGTTAGTGTTAGTATATATGTGCTCTGTAAAAATCAATAGTGAATAACCATTTAAATAACCCACTTCTATATTCGACCTTTTAAATAACACTCGGATTGAAAAGAGTGGAAATGACATACTTCCTCAAAATACAGCTGTGTACTGTCTATTTAGTTGAGTTTTGCTGTTTCGTGTATTCGTTATTGTCAAACTCCGTTCGTTTTTCCGTTATTCCCGGATGTGAAGATAAACTGGGGCATACTGATCTTCTACCTATGTATAAAACAGACTCCCTGATTGAATGTGCTTTATCCTGTAAGGCGGGTTGTGTGTGCTTTGGTTTTCATCTTGGACAGAATTTATGCAGAAGACAAACACAATGCGAATCGTCGAGAATGAACCAAACTGAGATTGGATGGATATACTATTTACCAGATAGAGGTACATTTTTTCAGATACATTGTTCACTGTCTTGGATATATGTATCTTTGATTTTTTCCTTTTTGTGTGAGAGGGTATATTTATATACGAAATGTTGATAGTTCGCTGCATTTGAACTGTAAATCATTGTAGATTGCAACATAGGGTGGAACTGTAACAATGACACAGGCAGATGTTATAGTCTAAACAGCACCAAAGTAACTCAAGCAGATGCCATGGTAAATTATAGCTATTATTGAGGTCCTAGAAAAAGCCGTACTATTCGACATTTAGACACAAAAATAACCAAGTACTTTGATACTAAATATCTGAAAACTGTTAGATGCCAAAGGCATCTCAGATTTTGCTGTCTGTCCTAAATGTTTGGAGTTTTTTTTTCATAAATGTTCACTGAAACTGACTCCTTGATAATCAATTCCTACAAATACCAGAAAAAAAAGATAGTTCCCTCTATTGTTCGGCGTATTTCAAGATGTCAGATTTCTTGCATTACGCTTTCCGTAGAACTTAAAATTGGATGTGGGTAAAGACATATTATTCGTTTATTTTATCTACTTTATATAATTTTGAATGCCCTCTTAAAACTAAATTTCAGATGTAATGGTTTGGTACTTCACAGATATATGTAAAGGTCGCAGTGGTAAGAGCGTCTGCTCTAGAGTCGCTGATCGAATCCCGCTGTGGGACGTGGAGACGGGTCCTTCGGATGAGACCCTATAAGCCGAGGTCCCATGTCGCAGTAGATGCTGACACGAGAAGATCCCTCACTGGTCAGTGGCCCCGAGTGCCGAGTATAGGTCAAAATTTGCAGCTCTCCACCGGTAAGGGGTGGCGTCTCCATATGAGTGAAAAATTTTCTAGAAGTACGTTAAACAACAAAACAAACAAGATATGTAAAGGACCAAAAACGTGGGGAATATTTCTTTATACACAAGAAGAGTGACAGAGAGAGAGAGATAAAGTGTCGTTTTACGCCCAATTCGAGACTTTCACTCATACACCTACGGCAGCGTATACCGGTGAAGGGCTTCAAATTTAGAATTTGCTTGGTACTTAGGGCCATTCAGCAGTGAGGGTTCTTTATTGAAAACGCAAACCCTTGACTCATTTTTATATTTCCGGGCGCTTGCATGGCGAATAGAAAATGCCTATGTTTACGTTTTACACACTATATTGTTAATGAAAATATAGTTTTGGATTAAGAACTTATTTTCCTGCGCCTGTCTTGTAAATTACCCTTATATAACATATTTACAAAGAACCTTTTTCACTGTTAGCAGTTTAACTTAAATACTTAATTTTTTGGCTTTGTTATCTTACATGAAAAATATACCAGTATTGCAAAATAGTCACCATTAGAAGAGTTTTGGCTTTGTACAGGTTTTTGTTTGTAAATTTACTAAATAAATTTGACTTTCTAACAAAACAAATAGACCGATTTAGCTTCTGCAAAGATTTTTCCCTCAAACTAAAACTATTGCGCCCTAACACAAAATATTAATACATTCTAGTAGAAGGAGATCAATAATTTCTATATCTTTCACACAGAAGGTAAATAATGGTGAATCAAATTATATTAGCTTGTAAAGTTAATTTCCGATTTTATTTTATTTGGTAGAGTCCATTTGAATGTTTATCTAGCTTTTTTCCTTTAAAATCGTCTATTTTATATGTTTGAGTAATTTAATTTATTTCCCCTCGGGGTTTCATCGACGAAAATTTAACAATAAAGGCTAGATGTTAACGCTAGGACCAACTCAAAAATAACTCTGTGAACCCCCATGCTTGAGGCGCTCGGAGGGTGTCTTCCCACTTAGCCAAAATTCTGAAATTTATACAGGTGACTGGTTTTGTCTAGGTGGGAATGGTGTACAGATAAGGGGAGGGAGAGAACAAAAGAAATTAATTACTGGAAACCTATAGTCCGTTTTAGAATGACCAGTGTTATAAATGATTTTAAATTATTTATTTATTCCATTTACTTATTCATTAATTTTTAACATAAATATTTTAAATGTATGTAAAATAAATGTTTTCTTCCTAATTTCTAATGATATGTTTTTATTTTAATAATTTTTAAAACCCCTTTTTTTAATCAAATATTTATTATTTATTCGTTAATTTTTTAACATAATTTTTAATTATATCTTTTAATTTATAATAATTTTTTTTAATTTTTATTGTGATTAAAAAATGATAATTTTATTATTTCGATTAAATGAAAGAAATGAGAAATTTTAATAAATAAAGAAGCGTAATGTATTTTATTGTTAATTTATATGTTTTAATTAATAATTTAAAAAAAAAATTCTATTGAAAAAAAAAAAAAAAAAAAGAAAAAAAAATTTAATTTCAAGTAAATGAATGAAATTGAGAAATATTTATAAAGAAGCATGATTTATTTTAATGTCAACTTATTTTAATTATTTTTCATATCACAAAAACAACATAATATCACATTGACATCTTAATTCTGTTGTAAGATGATCAGTTACATTAAGAGGAATGCAAAAAAGCCATTCTTACTAAAAAAAATTATTCTGATATAAAATAATGTTTATATCCAATACATAAGAGCATCATAACAGTCACCATCATAACATTCAAGTAAATAATACTTTTATCATATGGCAAAAATAATATAAATTAACATGTAGGGTAACATACATCATAAACCCATTTTTTTGTAAACTCGAAGACACATCACTCCAAATGCAGTAGGTGGGAGGTATCATCTGCATAGTCCATTATCTGATATGTCCTTGGCGTAGTCTGTCCTTCAAATCCTGAATGCGACGGTCTAACTGTCGATAGTTGGAGAACACCACCAGCAGCAGCAAGCTGAATCATCTTGGCTTAATTGGCTGCCTGTTCCATCTGAATTAACTGGACAGACATGACCAATTTTGATGGGGGCGCCGACTCATCCTGTTGAATTTATGATGCCATCCGTCCACTGCATTTGTTGTCCTTGATTCTTAATTGTCAAAATAGTTCAAGGTCATCAGATGGCCTTCGACCCAGGTCTCGGTAACATAGTCTTTGAAACGCAAGACATCTTGGTTATCATCTTCATTGTCCTCTAGCGCCTCAAACCACACGTCTTCCACTTGATGCTCTAGAACTAAAGAAAGAAAAGCTGCTGTCAATGCATCTCCAGTAGATTCTGTCATTGTATCTGTCATTGTATCTTATTCTGATGGAGTACTTGAAACCACCTTGCATTCTCCAGAAAATCCACCGGTACTTGCACGTTCGCCATACTTAACAAAGTGATAAAGAGGATCTTTTTTTTTTATTAGAATAAGTAAGAAAAGAGCATTTAATATACAAAAATTGGTTTTATCCTAGGATTTCAAGCGAATTTATATTCTTTCTGGATATATCAAGTATCTGTTAAACAAAATAGATATAGAACTAGAGAAGGAAAAGCATCACAGGGCACTGTTGTTTATTTAATTACTAAATTTTTTTTTGGTTATCTCTGGTTTGATTACTTACTAATTAGTATATAATAATTATATTCTATATAAACTTAAAATATAATAAATGATAGATGAATAAATAAACAAAAATTCCTATAAAATATTTCTTTGTATTCTTTATACATTTTTATAAATTTATTAACTAATTTTATATTAATTTCTTTTCTTTCTCTTTTAACAACTTATTTTTTTTATTTATTGATTTACTTATTTTGTAAATTCATTTATTTATTTATTTTCATCTCCGATGAAAATTACAGGTAATCAATCTAAAACAGACTATACACAGGTGACCACTCAGGTATGAAAATCACAATTTTGGCTAGATGGGAATAAGAAATTCAGAATTTTGGCAAGGTGGGAATTAAACCGTTCGGGGTGATTGGTTCAAACAACGATAGCGATACACTTAAGTTGATAAAAGAAGCAACTTCTTCGACAAGCGCTCGGCAGTTTGTTGTGGCGGGTCTTTCGGGTGAGACTTCAGAAACCGAGGTCCTCGACAGATGTTATTAGCTAAAGAACCTCGTATAATTGTTTATTTGCAAATCAAACTGGTCCTGAGTGCGAAATAAAGGAGTTCGAAGCCTCTTCCTGGCATCAGATCACGTCTCATCTTGCAGGGAAAAAATAATTACTCTTACAACTCACAGTTAAAGAGCAAGAGTCTTTTACATTACAGATTCTTTGTCTTTCCGTCTAGGGTTATGTTACTGAAAAAGGACAGAATTAAGTTTTTTTCTTATCTTTATATCATTACTAAGCCAGTAGCCTATACATCGTTATTGAGAAAATCAATTTCTTTTTCGGGAAGTGTGTATTTCAAATAATTTACTTGTTCTTCATTCAATTTGGATCAGATCTATGAATATGTTTTGCTATCTATTCAAATCACCATCAAGTCAGATATGTCTTGTTTGTTTTCTTCTCTCACAGGTATTTACTTCTATATACCTTGAAAAGATACGATTACTGTACCATTATGCTTTATATACTCAAAGGAAAAAAGAAACGCATATATCAATTTTTCAGAGCAGAATTCGAATTATGAAAAGTTACTACCTATTTTTCAGAGTATTGTGTTGATAAAGGTTTCTGCATTGATACTAGCCACATAATCAATCATCCGTGACTATCCAGGGATAGACCTCTTTGTTCGTGCGTTTTCACGAAAAATGTGGGTTATTCAAACACATTCAGTGCTGGTCCAAGCAAATTGATAATTTTCCCTAGTTTTCAACCAAGCAGACATTTTTGCACTCTAATTTACAAAAATATTCCTGCATACACATGCCATGTTAAGGATAGGAAGAGAGGGCAACCGATTTAGCATTATCACTCAGTTTGATTGCCAGACATTAGGAGTCTCCCAATTAACAATATCCCGACTTAACTAGAGGTACTATGAGCTAGCGCACAAATGATAACCTCCTTAGAGATGATTTTTTGGGCAATTTTTAGCAATCACTCTGTCCGTCTGACCGTTCACAAATTTTCATTTTTTTCCTTACAACTTTTTTATAGTTGACCAATTAAGTTCAATTTTGGTATGTTGGTTGAATATGCAGTAAGACATATTTTGATTCTAAGTTTGGCTCTCTGTGTCATCAGTTTGGAGCTGGGATAGTGGGGTAGATTCCTTAACTTTACGTAAGAATGAATGCCAGGGCAAAGAGAGATAACTACTGAGAATGTTCCTGTTGGAAACTATGAAACCTGCAACTAGTCCCATGGGATTAACCTTTCTCTTGAAGAAAATCAAAGGCATTATCTGTTTCTGTCAAATTGAGATTAATTAACACCTTGTTTGCAAATGAAGTTTATTTTGAAGTTAAGGTCAATTCTCAATGATGTTTACATTCTCTGAAATGTCGATTTAAAAAATGTTCATACATTATTTTGGTAAAATACACAATGAGTTATGATTTTATTGAATTCAAAAAACAACATTGAAAATAATTTACATAAAGTAGCAAAAATAAATAAATAAAAATATATACTTGAAGATATATTTTTTATTTATTTTTGCTACCTTATGTAAATTATTTTTGACAGGTAGTCCAATTATAACCTCATTCTATCATTGCTGAAAAAGTTCTTCTTGTAAACTTAGAAGAACAGGGTGAGAGAGCAGTACAATTAATCAAAGTGGATTAATTATCTTGCCTGGTGCAGAAAATTTTAGAGGCTATCTTTATTTGTCACTTTAAGATAAATTAACTCCTTTGTCTGCAACTGATGTTAGCTTTGAGGTTAAGGTCAAGCCTGTTTGATATTTGCATTTACTGAAGGCTGAAATATTATAAAACACATGCTTCATTCTTCTTTAATATACATTATATTGAGTTTTTATAGATATGATTTTTTTTTACTGCCTACTGTATACACAAGGAAACTATTAATAGATTGATGGATATTTAGGAATTAAATTGATATTTTATAAATACAGTTGCTAGTACATATTCTTCTTCCTACATTTATATTTTTGTAATCTAGTAAAATTCTCATTCTGTAAGCTGCACCCTTACATTTCTACCCTAGGCGGGGCCCTTGCTGACTGGTAAGTTTTCAAGTTTGTTGTACTGCACGCAGAGATATATTTGGGTATAGTAATGAACACATAAAATTTTTGGCAGACATATAATATAATAATATGGTAATGGAAGTTTCAATAAAGAAAGCAACTCGTTAAATATCATCTATCGAGTTTCAAATTGACCTCTTTTTCGTTTCAATCCGCATACGACAATATTTTTTTAATTTCAATCCCGATTAAAACAGACTCACAGCGATGAATTTTGAACCCGTTGGAAATAGACTCCAATGGTTTCCTACGAATTTGTGTGACAGATCCCCCCCCCCCCCAAAAAAAAATAAACAATTAACAAATTTAGTATTCTGAACCTTCTATTTATAGTTTTACAAAATTTAAATGTATCACAAAAATAATGATACATTTTTTATGTGATTTAACGTCCCTCTCGAGATTTTCACTCCTAGTCCGACGCCACCACATGCCGCTGGAGAGCTGCATATTTTGACCTATGCTCGACACTCAGTGCTATTAAGCAGTGAGAGATCTTTTTCGTTCCAGCACCTACTGTGACACGGGACCTCAGTTTATACGATCTCATAAGAAGGATCGGTCTCCACGTCCCACAAAGTAATGATATAAAATGAAAAAATGAAGCTAACAATTTCTGAAGTTTTTCTCTATTGGAAAGTATGAATGCATTCTTTATCCATTTTTTCTACAGTGACTATAAGATCATAACATACCCTCAGGCCATAAGCAATCTTTGAATGAAGTGGAAACTCCCAAACTCCGAACATTATTCTCCTTAAGAAAAATACAGACCGGACACGAATTATGAACTTGTATAAGTGACCTTGAACTTGCACAAATGACATTCAGTCAAGATCAACACACCCTCGGGTCAATCTTTGTGTAAAATGGGAACTTACCAGTTTATCCATAAGAAATATATGGATAGGACACGAATTATGAACTTTATCTTTCAGTGACCTTGAACTTGCCCAAATGACATTGGGTCACGGTCATGACACACTTTCAGGTGACGAACACTCTTCGTGTAAAATAGTAGATTCAAATTTTCCTCCGTAAGAAAGATATGGACCGGAACACGTTGCACAGACAGACAGACGGACAAGGTGATTCCTATATGCCCTCCCCCAAACTTTGTTTCTGGGAGGGGGATAAAAATCGGGGAACATTAATGACCGTGACCTATTCTCTTTAGAGAAGTGGACAGGCTTTCGCCTACATCCACTTCTCTTCGGAAGCCTTCATGTTTTGATTCTGGAAAACGTGCAAACTTCGAACCGGTGACGGCCTACACTTCAACTGAAATTTCGTCTAAAATACGTCTGAGTGTATGTAATATACGTGTCATATTAACAATTTTAACAAATACACACAATTGTCACAAGAAAACTGACCTTTACATATTGTTTATCCATTTTCACAAGTTCTCCATCCCGGATTTAAATTATTTGCAAGTAACTCTTGAAGGATTAAAAAATCTCTTAATTCGGATAAAACTGGAAACTATTTTTACAAAATAATGATGAAACAAGAGAAATCGTCTACTCTACAGTATTTCCTCAAGTTTCGTTCAGATTCTTTTGATCTTTGTTTTAAATCTTTTTTTTTTCATTTCTCGGAAAAGGTAGAGTTACTATCGTTTAGGAATAAAAGAAAAGATTTTCAGTATTGACAAAGACATAACAATGAAGTTTTTTTTTAAAGCTCAAATGTACTTATTAATTGTATTAAAATAGTAAAATTAAGTACAAGTAATAATATTAATTTTGAATAATATGCTAAATCAAAACTGAATTGTCAAAAACTTTTTTTTTGAACATCAAAATACGTCTTCAACAATTTTTCCAAATAATCCGACTTAAAATTTTCATTTTTTTTTCTAATAAGCTGTGGTAGATAAACATTAGCTTAAATCCGCGATGGAGAACTTGTGAAAATGGATTAGCAATATGTAAAGGTTGGATTTCTTGTGACACTTTTGTGTATTAATGTTCAAATTGTTAATTTAACATGTCTGTTATCGTACATTCGAAAATATTTTTAGACGAAATGTCAGTTGAAGTGTAGGCCGTCACCGATTCGAAATTTACACGTTTTCCAAAATCAAAACATGAAGGCTTGCGAAGAGAAGTGGATGTAGGCGAAAGCCTGTCCACTTCTCTAAAGAGAATACACCGTGACCGTATTCTTTTTATACGCCCGTCTTTAGACGGGACGTATTATGATATAGCGTTCATGTCCGTCTGTCTGTCTGTTAGCTTTTCTCGTGTCCGGCTCATAACTTTAATACTATTAGGCCTAGGATTATCAAACTTTGTCAGCTGATACTTCTTTGGTAGGAGGTGTGTCGCGCACTAAAAGTAGGTCGCTCTGACCTTTAATTACGATGCTATGGCCAAATATGGAAAAATCCTGTCCGGCTCATAACTAGAAAACTATTGGACTTAGAATCATCAAACTTGGCCAATTTATGCATCTTAGATAGAAGGTGTGTCGCGACCTATTTCAAGGTCACTGTGACCTTTAATTTAAGTGAAATTTAAAAATAAAACTGTTTACTATTAGATTACACAATCCCCAAAAATGCAAGAGTGTTGCAGTATCCTTATTAAAAAATGTTAAATCAAGAAAATACTTATTTTTTCTTTATATACTTTACAGCAATCTAAAACAAATGTAATGTTACAAGAGAAATTCTACCACTCCCATGGGTGTAATTATCAAGCACTGGTCAAGGAGAATTTGATAACAGAAAATAGCATGTCAAATTAGAGAGAAATTAATGTGTTGAGTGTGAGGAGCTAACTGGTAGAGCATCTCTGATCAAGCAGGTGTTATCTATATCTCTTGGGAACTAGGTAAAAAGAATCAGCCCTGTTGGATTAAATAGGTGGATAGCCTAACTTTGAAAATGAATTTGGTGAAAAGTAATTAAAACTTATTTGATATTGTATAATAAATTAATTTGATATTGTATAATAAACTAATTGATATTGTATAATATAATTAAAACTAATTATACTGGGGGGGGGGGGGGGATTGGAATCAGCATGCCAGTTGTCTGTATGAATTGCAGCTTAAAACCAGTCTGACATTAGATCTAAAAATAATCAAGTTTTTAAAAAAATGTTTCAATTATGGTAGGTTAGTCCCTACAAATCTAAGAGTAATGCAGGAACCTTATTAAAAATATTGTATGAAGATTACACAAGTTTTTTTTTCTTTTATAAATGTTTGTAACAAATAAAAAAAAATCTTTGTTTTCAAATTTAATATCAGAATGACATAAATATGCATTTTTATTGCAATACAAAGCAGAAAGTATGTATAGATCCATTCATCCGTTGGGAGTAATGAGTGGACATTCATCCAATTAAAGATTAATCAATGAGTTCAGTGTAGGAAGGCTAGCTGTCTCAATCATTTCTGTTAGAGGATCTCTGATCAAGCAGCTCTTATCTGTATCCTTTGGGAATTAGACAGAAGAACTGCTTGTCAGTTTATAGCTTATGTCATTTGATGGCCAGCCTTTTATTTTTGATATTAAATTGATATAGATTAAGTTGTTAAGACTACATTCATATTGTTTAATATGATATTTTTAATTAATTTTTTGAAAATATCAACAAATTCAGAGCATCATGTCTCACAAATCTGAAAGCTGGAAAGGGGGGGGGGGCTGCAGATGGGCATTTGTCAAGCTCTAACACAACCAGTTGAGGATCTATAATGTAATATTTGTTATAATTAATGCCTACACCACAGGAGATGTATAAACAAATATTATGAGGAATGCAAAAATCATTGAAATCCTTGTATCAAGGTTGACATGATTTTTTTGCACTCTAAACTGTTTATGACAATTGAACAATATTTGACGGGCGTATCATGCTGTGGCGGGGCAAATTATTACACTTGTGCCTTAAGTTCAGCAGCACCAACTGTCGAAACAGCACCATGAAGTTAGATTGCAGCCACCGCAGGGCTTTTTTTGTCTAAATATTGTTACCTCAATTAAATGAAACAATGATATAGGTTTTGTATAATAAAAATAGAAAATTTTCTTTGTAAATTGTTGATTTCATTAACCTTTGAATTTAATTATGCGTTTCTTTTCCTTTTGGTATATTTTTGCAGCAGTCTTGCTGTAGGTGCAATTCCTACCTGGTGGAAATAAACGACCTGGATGAAAACACCTGGATAACTACTAACATATTAAACGTTGTTTGTAAGAAAGTTACATTTACCCAAAAGTTTTCTTCACAATTCATGTATTATGAAACAAACAATTTAGCCTTTTTTTTGTTTCTTTTTTTAAATCAGTAATAGAAGGGCATTTTTTACTTCATTATTTGTTCTTTTTTCCCTTAGTCTGTAGCAGCCCTTACAATTGTGCGACATGGACCGGGGGTAACGATAAGGCGACAGAGGGTGTGTACGTATGGGAACACTCAAACACGACAATTGGATTTACTAAGTGGAGCAAGAGAAACCCGGACAACTACCTTGTTCCTGAACGAGAAGTAGACTGTATCGACATTTTGTATAACGGAGAGTGGAATGACCGACCTTGCTCTTACTTGAATGGCTTCCTTTGTGAGAGGGAAGGCATGTGAAAGAATACTGCTTCTCTGTATACTTTAATGTACAGTAAAACTAAATAAATACGATGATGAAGTACTTGACTCTTTAGTAGCTTTTAAGTCGAAAACCTACACAGAAAACTTGGTTTGGGGTAAGGTAGAGTGGGGTAATTTCGACCACTTTTGCTGATTTGTGGCTTTCAATCCACAAAACACGACTGTTTTCAAATGTACTAGTTAAAAAAGATTCAAAGTAATTGAGATTGATTTTTTTCTTCAGATTTTTCTGCTTTAGGAGTTAAAAATGCATAAAAAAATAATGAATTGGTTTAAAAATAAGTAAGCATGTCGCATGGGTTAATTTCGACCGGCCTCGGGGTAATTTCGACCACAACAAACATCAAAAAGAAAGATAACTCTTGCAATGCAAGAAAACTTGACCTGTCGCATTTTATTCAAAATTTATGGTCCGAGAAACTATATTGCTTATTTAGAAAATACGTATATCTATCTCTATCTCTCTCAACAAACAGAGTAAAATGGATAAGTACTAAAGATATGGGTTGGGTTACATAAGCTTTTCAATGCTGTCTTATAGACATCTTTCAAAATTCTTATTCTTTATTCTAAATTCTGCTTTTAATTCGCCAACTCTATAATTTAAAATTGTGATATATAGTTATGCAAATAGATAAAATTTTCTCAGATCCCACAAATAATTTCTTTGTTATGATTTTTAAATTCTCCAACCCAAAAGGAATTTTATTTAATATCGTCTTTTCACAACAGAATCATTCAGATTGTATATCTATGTATAAGGTTTGAGCATAGCATTAGAATTGCGTATATTTTTCTTCACTAATTTTTACCATATACACATTCATTTGGAATGCGTTGTTACATGTAATATACGTATTTTACGTGTTTTGTTAATTCTTAAGAGAGATAGATCCCGAGAAATTCGATAAGTCAATTAAATAAAGATTTACAGAAGCAAAGTCCTCTTACCCCCCCCCCCCCCCCAAAAAAAAAAAACAACCTAAACTCAAACAAATCATTTCAGTATTTCGTGTAACATCATAGTTTTTTTTTTTTTTGTTTCAAGATTGTTGCGGCTCTTTTGGTGTGTTGTTCTGATATTTTGGGTACTATTTGGATTTTTTTACCTGGACTGTGTGATACGATCTTAATACGTCCGAGTCGTTGGTTTTCGATAGCCTCAGTCTTATTCGTCAAAGTTTACGCATTCGTAATAATGAAAAATTTTTTACAAAAACCAGATTTTTTTTTTTGTTAGGGACCTATATTTAATATTGCCTGCACCCTCTCTTTTGTTAATTTGATGGGTTTGGAATCTTTAGGATTGCTCTCGTCATGTATTAATTCAAAGCCAGTGCCGACTCCATGTTCTCTCGCACCTCGATCAGTGATGCACCCTCGTGAATACTCAGGACTACAAGTAAGAACCTCGTGAACGGCCCAGACAATATATATAGCTAGGCATGCACATGTTAATTAAATAATCTGATATATTTTTTTTTAATATAAAAGGTTATGTGTAGATAATATTGTACATATGTAGTATAATTATTTTTTTTTAAGATCTAACTCTGCATTGCATTAAACAGCTGTTGAAGACAACTTACACGTATATTTCAGAATAAGTGGTCGAATTTACCCCGCGTCCTTAAAATCAGTAGGGGTAATTTCGACCAAAATCAAATGGACGTTTCTTGTGCATTTTGAGAGAAATCCAAGATAAATTTGTAAAATTCTGCAACTTAAAGATATTCCAAGAAGAAATAAAACAATTTTAATTTAACTCGTGCTGTAGACTGTTGAACAAAGTTAAACTTAAAAAGAGGTTGTACGAGTTGTCTCTCTTGCATTTCCATGATCAAATCAAGCACACTGAAGACTGGAACTTTGAACGTCAAACTGGAGACATAAATGACAGTTAAAATATTATTTATATCTCTGATCAAGCCATTTTTGCGATGAATAATTATACTACTATAATTTGAGGAATAGTTTCTATAATTCCGAATAAATTAAACTTGTCTCAACACTTCCGTAGATCTTTGTGTGGTTTTGAGTTTTGAGTTCCTGTGGTCGAAATTAAACGGTGGTCGAAATTACCCTGACTTACCCTACATAATGAGGATCGAAATTAACAAGTCCAACATACAATTTGCAGAGGGTGTCTAAAACAATTATTTTACCTATTTTACATAATAAAAAGGTTTACTTGTAAGTTAAATTCTCCTTAATCATTTCAAAATATTTCATTAGTCGCTACGATGTATTTTTTTCATATTTAATCCATAGGGATATTTATTAACATGGGCTAAGATAAATAAATAAATAAGTATATATGTATTTATCTGTACCACCAACGAGAACCTCGCATACTCAAAAATGTTTAAAAAATCTCGAATGAGACGTAAAGCAACATACAATCAATCAATCTAATCCTTCACATCCCTAGCAATATATACACTCATATAATTAATGTTCAGTGCTGAAAGGCTATGGGCTCTAGCAGCAGTAGTTAAAGCACACAATGCTACCACTTTCCTTGTTAATATTTTTTGAGTCAAGTTTTTCAGAGGATATGTGTTTCTTAGAAACTGTAAAACTTTAGATACATCCGATGTTAACTTGCACTTTTGATTAAGGTGGATTTAAATTATAATAATCTTTAAAGTAACTTAGGTATCAACCAGAAGTCTCTGACGAGACCGTAGCTCTACTGGTTGTACTTATAAAGGAAGATAAAAATAGCACTTGGACTTGAAACTTTGCAACAGCAATTAATAGACTAATGATCCTTGGTTTAGTCTCTTTTTGTGGCAAGATTTATTGCAATCAGACTAAAACTGTAGGAGAAGTAGCCTTTTAAAATAATTTTACAGAAATTTGGATTTAAGTAACCATGGCGACATCATTCAACATATCAAACAAGAGGCCCAAGGGCCTTAACGATCACCTGAGTATAATACAATTTAGAGGATCCATAGAGTATAAAATGAACTGAAAGGTGAAGCTTTGTTGCCCAAAAGCAAGAAAAATAGGATGATCAGGATCAACAAAATAATTAGTCTAGCATTCAGTAACAGTTCATAAATTAGGTTCTAATCTGTTCCCCAGTTATCACCATCACCACACAGTATATTAACAAACTATCAGTCTTCTATACTATTTTAATTCCTTGTTGACAACTCACATTGGCCTCTCTTGGTCTTTGATGAACATTTAAAAAGACAAGTTATTTTTGTCTCATTTTTATTTATCTATTACTTAAAAGTCTCACTGATCGTAAAAACTATGAAAGTACTTTTTGTATTATACAATAAAAATTCTTGCATAATTCTCTTATTCTATTAACCTTTCAAGTACATTATTTACAGTGATTAATTATCAAAAGTAAATGGCAAAGGGGAATAACTCCTCTATGAAGAATAAAATTAATAGAGCCCTTGCCAGGACCAGAACACTTGACCAAATGGTCCAGATGTTCAAAGATCTGGTAAAAAAACCTTTCCTTATTAAAACATTTACTCTCTTTGCCTCTGATATTCCCAGGTGCAGAGAAGATTTTTAAAGAAATAATGCATTTTTACTACAGATTCACTATATTATCAATAGAGCCCCCCTCCACACTGAGAAACACCAGAGCCTTTGACCTTGGGACCGGAAGTTTGCGCATTATAAGTAATCACTTTGTTTATTTGCTTTACACTAAGGAGCAGACAGGGTAATTAAATAGAATTAATGCATTTTCACTATATTATCAAGAGCCCACCCTTACGCCAGCACATCTTACCCAGGGCTCATGCAATTCACTACTCTGGAAGAACCACTCTTGCTCATCATAACGATACACATAGCTTCTTTGCTTTTTAACCAGAAGCAGAAAGGAATATTTTCAAAGAAATTTTTCTTTTTCACTATATAATCAATAGAGCCCCCCTTCCCCTTTCACCAGAGCCCTTGACCCTTGGGCCATGAAATTCACAATTTTGGAAGAAGCATCCTTGCAAATCATAACAATGTACTTAGTTTGTTTAAATAATACACAGGGGCAGAGAAGAAGATTTTCAAAGAAATAAATCACCTTCACTATAGGATCTACATAGCCCCTCTCTAGCAGTAGAACCCCTGTCCCTGGGGCCATGAATTTCAAAGTTTTCGAAGAGGCATCCTTGCTTATCATAACAATGTACTTAGTTTATTTAAATAATAAACAGGAGCAGAGAAGAAGATTTTCAAAGAAATAATGCATTTTCACTACATAATAAATAGACCCCCACCCTAACACCAGAACCCCTGACCCAGGGGCTATGAAATTCACAATTTTGGAAGAGGCATCATTGCTTATCATAACTATGTATTTAGTTTGTTTTAAATAATACCCAGAAGTAGAGAAGAACATTTTCAAAGAAATAATGCATTTTCACTATATAATCAATAGAGTCCCGCCCTAACACCAGAACCCCTGATCCTGGGGCCATGAAAATAACAATTTCGGATAAGGCACTCTTGCTTTTCATAACTATGTACTTAGTTAGTTTATTTAATACCCTGGAGCAGAGAAGAAGATTTTCAAAGAAATAATGCATTTTCACTATATAATCAATAGAGCCCCGCCCTAACACCTGAACCCTAACCCTGGGGCCATGAAATTCACAATTTTGGAAAAGGCATTCTTGCTCATCATAACTTAGTTTGTTTATTTAATACCTAGGAGCAGAGAAGAAGATTTTCAAAGAAATAATGCATTTTCACTATACAATCAATAGAGCCCCGCCCTAACAACAGAACCCCTGACCCTGGGCCATGAAATTCACAATTTTGGATAAGGCACTCTTGCTCTTCATAACTTTGTACTTAGTTTATTTGAATCCCAGGAGCAGAGAAGAAGATTTTCAAAGAAATAATGCACTTTCACTATATGATCTATATAGCCCCACCCTAGCACTAGAACTCCTGACCCTGGGGCGATGAATTTCACAATTTTGGAAGAGGGCTCAATGCTTATTACAATCATGCCAACAGTTTGACTGGTTGATGTCCAGGAGTAAAA